GATGGACTTCTTGTGCTTTGGGGGGGGGGGCGTATGCCTTGGGGACAGGGCGTTTTCTGTGACAGTGAAGCACCGGAGCAAGCACTCCTGTCAGTTGGTGCGGGCGGCGCCATTGAAATGTGTTCTTCTCTCGCCCTCGCTGTAGCCCCGGCACGCACGTACTTCCATGTACTTGGATACTTCCGCTCTGCAGTCTATATGCTCTTCCGTTGTTGGAAACCGCGGCCTCCCGAATGCCCTGTTGTTCCCCTCCCAAACCCTAAATTCACACGTGCGCGCTGGGCGGGGAAAACGTCGGATGGGGGGGGGCGCGCAGATCGGATCCTTCTTGACGGGGAAGCTCCTGTCTAGGTTCGGGTTCAAGGCGGCGTTCTACATGCACGCAGCGTTCTCCCTGCCGACGCTCCTGATCCTGATGCGGTTCAGCCCGAAGAAGGAAGACCGGGGGAAGGAGCCACCGAAGTTCGGGGAGCTTTACCAGCTCGTGGTCCACGACCCTGATGTCCTGGTGAGGGGCACGCGGTCGCGGGGCATGTAGCGTTTGCGCGCGTGTCTCGATTTTTGCGGTTGTGGTCTCGTCGTCGTCGTCCTTTTGTTCGTGGCCGTGGCGGCTCATCGTCGTGTGTGGCATGTGCGTGCGGTTAGTGGTCCTGTTGCCATCGTCCTTGTTTGGCCGTGACGACTCATCGTATTATGGGCCTGGGGTTATGTATTACTCTTATTTGTTTATTTTTGCGGTGGCGAACCCCCGCTTTCCGTGGTAGGTGGGTCATGAGCCATGGCAACACATCGGGGGTAACACAACCGTGCCGTGCCATGGAGTTTTGATGATGAGTCTTCTGGTTTGTGCGCTTGATATTGCTTCTTGTGTGTGTTTCGGTGAGAAAAGTGTTGTTTCCGCGATCGGACCATCAAACTGCGTCAGGGAAAGAAAGGTCCACCTGTACTAGCGTACTCCTCACCATTAGTCGAAACTGACCGTGGTGCATGTATTGTACCACATACATACCCTTGTACGATTTTTTTTTTTTCAATTGTTGACGCGCCAAGTGCCGTGCTTTTTCATCACCATTTCCCCCTCGTGACTAGAAACCATTTTGCTCTATTTTCCTCGAGAGAAAAATCCAACATGCATGCTTGCTTGGCTGCGGTCGAGCGTGTCCCTCCAATCCTTTTTTTTGTCGTTTCAATGGACATGAGCCCCATTAAATTCGAAGGGTGTATGCATATCTAACGACGGTTCTATTTCCACCGATCCACCGATCGGACTTGAAGTCATGTCTATCGCTCCCGATTTTTCGTGCCTGCTTTTTTTGTTTGTGTTTTTACCTGGGCCTCGGCGTTCCTGCGGACACCCTTCTAAACAGCATTAATAACCCCACTAACAAAACTAAGTCATTATGTTAAATATATTATAATTTATTGTGTTAAATGTATTATGCACTAATTTTTCGAAGGTATTTTTCTCGATGGTGTTCGCGATTGGGCTATCGAGCGGCGTGATCGAGAACTTCGCCTACAAGCGGCTGAGGGAGCTGGGGGGCACCGGGTCGGTGCTGGGGGTGTCGCGGCTGGTATCTAGCCTGTCGGGTATACCCATGTTCTTCTTCTCGGGGGCCATCGTGAAGCACTTCAGCATCGTGGGCATCCTGACCGCGTCAATGATGAGCTTCATCGCTAGGTGGGTGGAGAGAGAGACTTGTTAACCTCGAGGTTTTTCTAATCGACGGTAGGGCGGAGGTACACGGTTTCCTTCAGCGGAGATTTGTTTTTTTCCTTGATCCAGTTTTTCTTGCCGGGACTGACTCCAAGCACGCGCGAGTGCTTCCGTCGCGTACATACCCCGCCTGATCGTTCATGCGACGATTTCTCGTTTTGAGACGACGGGAAAAAACCCTCCTTGGTTCATGTAATAAATATATATATCCAGGTTCGTCATCTACGCGTCCATCAAGAACCCCTGGGCGGGCCTCCCGGCGGAGGCGCTCAGAGGAGTTACGTTTGCTGGCTTCTGGGCGGCGAGTACGTGCCACGTTGGCGCGATCGCACCCCCGGGTCTCTCGACGACCATGGTGAGGAGGCGTTTTTTTTTTTTGTTCTTTCAGATCCGCTGGCCGCGTTGTGCCAAGAAGCCTTGTTCCCGTTGGTTCAACTCTACCGCAAGCCCCTCCTGCAAGACTTTGCTGGTGTCGGCAGATGTATGTACCAACCGACACTTGTGATCTGGTGCATACGTGTCTATTCATTTGATCCGTCTCTACTTGCCCCCGTACCCCAGCCGATAGTGTTGCAAACTGCTGATTATCCCGTTTTTTAATCTCCACTCTCTCCTTGCGTGCATGTGTGCTACCCCGACCGTCGTGTTCATGCGGACGCCGCTGACCACAGCTGGGGCTCCTGAATGCGACGTACGGGGGCATCGGGCAGTCTCTCGGGTCCCTCATCGGCGGGAGCCTCAGCATGCGCTTCGGGACGGCGAGGGCGTTCCTGGTGTACGCCAGCGTCGACGCGTGCCTGCTGCTCGCCTTCTTCCTGTTCTGGGGGTTGCATCCGAACGGGCAGCAGAAGGACCGCGGGGCCGGCGGCGGGATAGGTGCCTCTTCGGGGCAGGACGTGGGGAAGGTGTCCCCGCATGCCGGCCAGCTGCCGCCGCCGGCGGAGGCTACGCCGCAGCAACCTGCCGAGGGGGTGCAAGATCAGACGTTTACGCCGCCCCCTGCGGTCGGCCAGCGATAGAGGAGGGTGGGGGCCCGAATCTGCGATGTCGATGGCGGTGGACTTTGAAGGTTTGCGGAGGAGATGGAAATGACGACTCTGAGGCTCCTGACGACTCGGGGGGGGGGGGCTGTGGATGAGCTCTTCTCTGTCTGAAATTTTGACACCTGTTGAAATGAACGGGGTTTATTTGATAGAGCTACTACGTGTGTCTCGCAGCGCGTGGCCAAATTACGTTGGGCGTTCTGCGTTGTTTCTCTAGGGTAGTATCGGTACAGGGGTACTTTTGTTGGTGTTGGGTGTGTTTGTTTGCTTTGATGGTTTTGGATATGACTAATAATAGTGTAAAAAGCGGTGGTGACATTGAACGTGGGTTTTACGAACGATCTGGAGCCACCTGATGTTTTGTGTCTCCGTTTATTTTGCTTCTGTGTGAAATGTTATGCAGACGTTATGCGAAAACGTTGACTTCTTTTTTTAATCAGACCGAGAATTTTGTTCGTTTGTTTTAGGATGGAGAAAAGAGACACGCCATGTTTTGGCTGTTGCGTGGTACTTTTTTGTGTGTGGTGACCCTTTTGGGAATGATTTTCCAAACCCCGTGGGCCTAGAAGCGCCATGGACCTGTTCGTGCATCGCAGCTCGAGAGAGAAGTGCGCTTGCGGCTGATCTTGACGCTCCGACAGAACGGGGGTGAGCCAATTGCACATGGTGTCCTACATAGCTGCTTGTGTGTCGCGGTCAGTTTGCGTGACGATGCCTCTTGTGGTGCTGCTTGAGGCGGAGGGCCGGCTGATGATGACGATGCGGGGGGGGGTGTTCCTCCTGATAGTTGGGGCCACAGGTCTGAAGCCCTTTTTTTTGTGGTGTGCTCAGTTTCTGCTGCCTGCCACACTCTGGTGTTTTTGTTTTTTCGTCGTTTCCCTCATATCTACAAACATTCGAACTTGAGGTAACAGATCGATGATAGATTCAAATCGTGCCCTACGTGGCGCCCTGGGCGGCGAACTGCCTCAAGTGCGTCCCACCCGACCTCTAGTCGAAGGCTTCAAGTTCTTGTTGTACCACGATGATTCCCACGCAAATCTGAACACGAAGTCCTCGTACCACCGCTGCCAAAGTTCCGGTGCGCATATCCATGAAGACTGTTGTTGGACTGCAGTCTATGATGCCTGCATCAACCATGCCGAGAGATCATTTACTTGTTTGATGAGGGGTATGTTCGATATCCAGGCGTGTAAGCTTTGTTTGATGAGGGGTATGTTCGATATCCAGGCGTGTAAGCTTGGTTTGATGAGGGGTATGTTCGATATCCAGGCGGGTAAGCTTTGTGAAGGTAACGCAATGGCACCTGGATAATTTGCTGTGATGCTCCAACCTTGATACGGGGTATGTATGTATTTGCCATGCGCCGTCCGTCCGCTACAAAAGCAACGGAGAACAAGGCTATAGCAACCAACAGTGATGTCGCCAAGATATTATTTTGTACGGAAGGTTGAGTTGGCACGTTGGCTCACCTACCACACCATCAATGCTGGTTGGACTCGTCCTGTCACGGGGCCAAATTTGCAATTTTGAACGGTAGTGCAAGATTGCGTTGAAAATACAATTTGAGTGTGGCGTTCGTACAGTAAACACAGCATGTACAGAAGGCACCACACACATGCATGCATGCATACACCCACTCGTACTTCAATTCGTCGGTCGATTGCCGTGGGCGGACATCAAACGATATATGAACGTGGCCGAAATGTGTAGAAGAAAGTTTGATGACTTGACAACTTGAAGAGACGGCTAAATCTAAAGTCTTACAAGCAGATACATGCATGCTGTCATGTTTTGACGTGTCGGGTCTCTCGTGGCATGTCTACAATACAAAAAAAACAAAACGAATCAAATCTCTTCCTACAGAGAAAGGAGTTCCGGATCGACTAGCACTGAACTCATAGCGTTGTACATGACCCAACCTGTGTTTCTACTATTCCCCGAGCAGCATGCGGCGATATTTCCCCTGTAGGTAACAGGCTCATCTCCGTGTCTGTGTGCAGTCGTGCAACCTGTAGCCTGCTGTAGCCTGTATGCCTGTATCGATGTTGCGCCGCATGTGAACAGGGCGAACCGTCACAAAACTCGCCGCGTTTCCGGATGTTTTCGCGATCCGTCGAGAGTCGAGAATAAAATAGACGGCGTGTAGCTTTGACGCACCTCTTCGCGTGGTATTATTACCTCGACAGGGTGTTGTCGAGGGGTGATGGCACGTCCTTTCGTCGGCAGCACTTAGGGTGTTGGAAAACTCGTCGTCGTTAGGTAGGTACAGTCCTGATGGCGACGATAGAAACAATATCCGGCGTTGGAGCGGGGCCAGCATGGAAGCCGCTAGGGACCATGGACTACGGGATCATCGGGGCCACGACCGTTATCGACGTCACGGCTGCACTGTTCATAGTGCACGTCGTGTGGAACTCGGGGTGGCCCCCGTACACGGCGGCAGATCCCCAACTCTTGGTGTACACAAGCATGGCGGTGAGAGTTGCCTGCAGCATCACGAGAGTCCAGCGTTCAACAACTTCCAGATCGTACAGCAGTACCATAGTCTAGGCCACAGACATACATATAATATACTGTAATCTAAACTCCGCCAAAAAACTGGTCACCAGCTCTTGCCTGACGCCTACGCTTGGTGAATGATCATAGGAACAGTTTTGCTCGGTCCTTTGGCCGGGAAGCTGTCTCGCGTACAAGTGATGAGAGCGCGTGTGCATCCAACTCCACAATGCATACCACGAAAAACCACGGAACCTTCCATTCTCTCTGCACTACACGTACATGTGCGTACATGGATGTCACAAAATCATGTGGTGAATTTCCACGAGCGGCTCATCCTATGTACAAACATCACATGAGGGCGGGCTCTTGGAAGTACGTTGTAGGGACGCGGGGCAGGGTATAGGATATCGGGTTACCCGGCCGATTCGAAGGCTCCGTCTGTGCTCTCAATTGGCCGCACTTCCTGTATACTGCTGTATGTACACGATTAGGTCAACATCGAGCAATGTGTGCCTTGCTCACTCCATATACTTGTCGACATTTGATCTTGTAGTCAGTCCACTGTTCATCGTCCACGATTCTTGCCGAGGGCCGAGCGGCGAAGAAAGGTGGACCCCCAAACACGACCAGTCTACTGTAGTGTGACGACGTACTGTAGTATGGACCGCGAACTTACAGCAACTTTGCGGGGTCGCAGCCCCTACCATCAGACAACTCGTGCAATTTCCGCGCTTGGGCCACCGAGTGCGACTCTCTTTTGCGCATACCTAACTATCATCTAGGTAGGTGTACGTGAAACAATGTTCTGCTGCTTGCGTTAATCCAGAACGAAGGCGAGTTGACGCTTTCAGGGCATCGTGTGCAAAGAGATCAGCGCGTTCATGCAGAACAGAGCAAAAGTGAGGAATATGCTCACACGCTAGTTTACTACAGCATGGTTGGGTAGTGCAACACGTCAGGGGGAAAATTGTGGAACTACACATTCTTGTGACCCTCCAGAAGAGACATTTGCTCTCAGTGGACGATAAAAGCATGCAAGCGACTGCTAGCTTAGCGTTTTAGAAGTATTTCAACAGCGCCTTCGAACAGTACCTACATCGATATACAAATGCTTCGTTCAACTAGAAGACGTTTTCTTGATCGGCAAGAAGAAGTGAAGGGTCAAGCCGCTCGGAGTTTCGAGTGCAAGCGGCGACCCCTGTCATTACTAGCCGCACCTCACCATGCCGTCAATAACTTGTTCTGCATAATCGGAAACTATATTCTCAGGGACCTTTTTCGACAACCGGGTCAACGCAAAACCGAAAACAGCAATTTGCCTTTCACGTTCGGCCTCTGCGTATTCCAAAATCATGGGTGAAAGTTCTGCGTAACACGGGCTAGCATTGCAAGAGGGAGGTAGGATATCGTGAGAAGTGACCGCAGGTTTAATGCTCGATCCTGGCGCGTGGACGGAGGTGGGACGGAAAACGAAAATCGAGTCCATTCAATCGAAGCAGATATTAAGCTAATAAACAAAAGGTATATCCGCGACTTAGTTTTGGCGCGGTCTTTTGATGTTTCAATATGGCTTCCTGTGAAATGCAGCCTCAAGTATGCTCGTGTCCTCCCCCTTTTTTTCGTCGCCACACACCACTATACCTTGCATGCGCCTACTTGGTATCACTTACCTAGGCGATAATCGCGACGTTTGGAGTCAGCATGAGGTACGGGCTGTGGGGACTGGACGGGGAGGCGCTAGGGTGCGATGTGGTGGCTTCTTTCACGTGGATTGGCCTGGGGGCGCTATTCTCGACCGCGTTCCTCCGGATATACCGCACTCACGACGTTCTGGTTCGGCAGGATGGGGCCATGTGGCCGGTCGTGGCGCAGGTCAGTCAGAAACTTGATTGTTGTTTGTTGGAGACATTTTTCGTCCCTTATTAGGTGCAAGAGCAAGCAATGGCAGACTGGGAAAGCTTTGCGGTTTCGCCATGTTGGTCAAAGCGGAGGACTTGCCCACGCTGTTGAAATAACTTAAAATAACCCATTCACCGTCCGCCCGTTGATTTTGCCTAGAGCTGGTGAACCAGCTGGTGTACCATTACCTACCATTACCAATACCTCTAGAAACCTGCGAATTTCAAGGCCGCCATAACCAACAAGTTAATACATCATTCTCGAAGATAGTGATGCTCCCACTTTGCCGCAGAAGGAACCTGGGAGGATTGGATGGCAAAACAATTGGCTGCCACCAGTTTCTAGCTAATCTAGCCGTGGTGCTACCAATAGATCCAGCAACCTCGCTTGAACTGGTCAATGCGCTGCTGCAACCGCCCTCGTTCACCCCTCCCGTTCACCCTTACCCCACTCTGGCCATCTGCCGAACAACGAAAATGCGCCTGGGCGGCGAAATTTCCAACCTAAACCGCGGACGAAACGGAAGCAGTTGGTCCTACTACTCCTGCCATTCACGCTGGCACCGGCGTTCCTGTCGAGCTCCGGCGTGGCGATGTTTGACCCCGCCTCCATGGAGTGTCAGCCAGAGTCGACCGTGCCTGAGTCGTCAGCGTTCGTCGTGATGGGCATCCTCGCGGCGTTTTCGTTGGTGCTGGCCGTTCGGCTCCGTGTGGCCCGCGTGCAGGTACGGGCTCCAAGTACACCCGTGTGCCGCGGGAGAGGGGGAAGCTGTTTCCGGGGTTTGTTGTCGCGCGCCGCACTTTGGAGAGGGACGATAGAAACGGACCCACCTGGGCGTGGTGACACCGGTTTCACCCAAACAAAACGGCAGACATCAAACCCTCGGGTGGGAGCGGCATTGTGGTGGTCGTTCCGACACAGTGCTTAGTTGACTCAAGTGTATCAGTATTTCTGTCGGGCTGCAGGGTATTCTCCCGCGCGCCACAGCACACGCACACACCAACGTAGCGTCTTGCAAGATATTGATAGCGCTGAGTACTGTCCTTCATCGCCCCAACCAAACACACGCCGTGGCACATGAAAATGGCTCCAGAGTTGTTCTCTGCTTCTTCTATGCTCTTCCCGCTTTGCGTAGCCGCGAAGTCAGCGACCACATGACACCTCGCGGAGAAGCTAGTCAACCAACCACCAGCCTGTCCATTGGCACGGTTTCTATATATCCGATATCAAGCGATACGAACGGGCGTTCTTGTTGTTTCTCGCGGTCGTTTTCGCCGCAACGTCGAAGATCGCCACTCGTTGGTTTATATCTCCAGAACAAACCACACCCGTAGTATGGGTGCGAAGTGCGTGTGCTGTTCCCCCACTGTTCTATTCCGCCGCCATCACCACCGATGCCATTGCCGGCATTGCATCCGTCGATTCTCTTCGCTCACAGGTCCCACTTGTCCACAGTCGGAAAGAAGCCTGGTTGGAGAACAGCTTCTTGTCCCAGCCCATACCTAGGAGAACCTTGAAGAATAGGGAAGAGCAGAATAAAACGACCTTTCTCGGGGCAGCACGGCGCCAAAAACACCGAGCAACCTTGACAAAAACATCTCTGTCGGCCTGTAGGGTGGCGGCACAGAGTTGTGATATTCGATTCCCTCTCCTGCCTCGATCCCCACAACGACACACTTTTCGACCAGGCGCCGTACGAGTTCGAGACGGCCGCGACTATCTCCGTCATCCTGGCCGCCGCTGCCGCCGCCCTCCCATTGGTCCACTGGGAGATGGAGGGGGACAGGGACGGCCGTCGAGGGTTAATGCTGCTGATCACGGCGCTGACAGGCGTTGGCGTAGTGGCGGCCCCGGCGTTGCGATTCCTCTATAGCTATGTCAGCGACGAGGAGAAGCTTAAGAGCAGGTGGGTACTAGACTGATGCTTTTTCCAACGACCACGTAGGTCTTCGAAAGCAGACGCCGGGCGCTGCCGTCTGAGACTACGGGAGCAATTGTCATAGTGCATCAGCCTGAGATACTGTTTATGCGGGTGGGTACGAAGACCGGCTTCATGCCAGTCGGTGGCCGATACCGGCGGTCGGAATATCCCGCCAATGAGCGGTGAAAGTGCTGCGATGTGTCTGGTCGGAGGTGGTCAGAACGTCCGCAAAACGGTGTCATACCGAACCCCATTACATGCACGGTGGCTCGGTTCCCAAGAGCTGGACCGCACCACCACGTCGAAAGCCTCTTTTCCATCTTCCTGACGTCTTCGGTGCCAGTCTTTCCCCTACTTAAACAAGTCATATACAACTCACAACACGTGTGTTTCCTCTCAGCGGTGACTTCTGCATCGGCGAGTGGCGGTCCAAGAAAAAGGTAGACTACATCATCATGCAGTGTCGGAAGTTCCAAGAAGTGGCCAGCTCCTCGAGGGACGTCCCGAACTTTCCCGTCGTCGACGAGTTTTTCCGGGCTCTCATTGCCCGCGAGGAGATCACGAGCTATCCCAAGCTCCAGGTAGGCATCGCGCAAGAGTTACGGCCCACCTGATGACACTCTTGTTGCTCTTGTTCTTGTTCCTCTTCGTCGTTGTCGTCGTTGTCGTCGTCCATTATTATTCGTCTCCTTCGTCTTTCTCTCGACTTTACACGAGAACATCGTTGCCCGTAGTGAGTGCATACACTCGGTGCGTGATTCGGCCCAGAATTGACCCGACCTCACCGAATGTTCCAAGTATGACAAATAAATCGAACATTTTCTTGCATAGATGCGGTGGCCGTTGCGCCGCACGGTACCCCAGACGTCTTCAGTTTTCCTGGGTACGTGCGCTAATGTCTCTGCCATTGGTTTCCAACGAAGATGGTAGAACAAACATGCGGTAAAGCTCAAACATGTTTGTATGCCAAACCGACCAACCTTTCATCTGCTGCCGGCTCCATCCCACATCTCAGGAAGCGCACAGCTGTATCTGCCGCGATGAGGCCTAGGGAACAGCCACCCCACACAAATCGCAACTCTCACAAAGCACCTGGACGCATGAACAAGCCACAGTAGCTCCCCTTAGCACACCCTGACGCCTTCCACAACCCTTTCCATTGCTGCTGCTTGCAAAAACCGGATTTGTGCGGGTGTCCACACAGTCCACGACGATGCGCATCCTCAACAAGTACTTCCGAAAGGGCGTCCTGCACGCCGCCGCGTTACCCATCTCGGAGGCGTGCATCACCACCACCCTCCAGCAGAAGGCGTCTTCCACCTTCATCTTCGACAGGGCCAGGGCGGAAGTGCTGGATGGAATCGGGGTCGGGAAGCTCCCACAGGCGAGTTTTCTCTTTACCTTTACGCTAAAAAGCCGTTGGTGGTCTGGAAACCACGGCGAATGGAGATGTTCACATGCGTAGAGACAGTTGGTCTTGTGGAAGAACAAGTGTTTCTGTCCCCAGTGAGCATGTGTTCGGATTGGGTGGGTGAGCGGGGGGAGTTGTTGGGATCGCTAGGGGCGGGCCGTTGCTTCACAAGAAGGGTAAGCATGCCATCGTTTCGTAGTTGTAGTAGAGATCCTGAGCAAGGGCAATGTGTAGATTCAGTGTTCAGGGCGAAAACCTTTGTGTTCGAGAACGCCGATAAGAACTCGGGGCTTCTTCTGCAATTTCCTGCTCTTGGAAACAGCGTTTGTGGCGAAGAGATGGAAATCTCGAAGTTATTGGTGGCAAACGATGACACCGGCGAAGGGTCAGTACCTTACCAAAGCACAACTTAAAGCAACGGCAGCCTTTTTCACTACCATATACAAAAACACACGTCAAATGATCCTCTTGTTCATGCATTGGGTTGCATTGGGTTGAATTTTGGACTGGGGGGAAAACGTTTGAACCATCGTCGGGGAAATCTTGCGGGTGCAGAAGCACTCCTCGACACATCCGGGGAAGGAAGCGTGAAACGACCGCTAGGGAATGCATTCTTGGATCTGGTTTACATGGGTTCCGGAACAAAACAATTTCTAGTTTTTGACAACCATCTGTCTCACTTCACTCTCCCCGCTTCACCGCACCCTGCCCTCGCCTCTTCTCATGTAGCCAACTACCTGCCCGTCTTTACACTTGCAACAACGCGCATATGCAAAAATACGTGCATGACGTTCTCCGACGCCGAAGACCCCCTCCATCTCCCCTCCGCATTTATAGCAGATCGGCGAGGATGGACCCATCGGACCATCCGCAGTCATTGCCAGAACCCACAGCGAGGCAACGACGGGTGCCAACTCGAACTTGAATTCTGGAGGCTCCGGGCAGCACAACATGGCGAATAAACGCCCCTCTCCTGCATCTCAAGCCGCCGCCTCCGCCGCCGCCGCCGCCACCACCACCGACGCCGACGCCGACGCCGCGGCCGCGATCGGCGGCGCGCACCTCCAGTCGCCGTCTCCATCGGCGGCGCCGACACCGGCCCCGCCGTCGCCGGTGCTGTCGGAGGTGTCATCGCTGCAGTACTCGGAGGACTCGACCCCGCCCCACTCCCCGGCGGCGCCTTCGCCTCTTCACCCGCTGCCTTCGTCGCGGCTGAACCCGGACACCCAGCGGAACCGCTGCGCGGTGGTCCGTTCGACCCCTTCCAGCCCGATAACGACTCTGACACAGCCGCTGGACTACCGGGGGGCCAGCAAGAAGATAGAGTCAGAGAAAAAGCCAGGCTCGGACAACAACAGCGGCGGCAAGAGGAAGAGCCTCATCTCTTCCCTCTTCGGCAGGATCGGAGGCGGAGAAGGAGGAGGCGGAAGAAAGTCGCGGCACGAGAAACGGAGGGTTCAGGACTTGGGGTCGTCTGCCGAGTGCCCCCCCCCCATCATCCACATGGCGGAAGAAGACGACGACGAAGTCGTAGATTTCGGAGATGGCGTGGACGGAGCCAAGGGGAAGGACGAGGGGGCACTCCCCCGGCGGTCGTCGCTGGTGGCGGCCGACAAGACCGGGGTCCGGACGATGGCCGGGATCGGGGACGTCCACGCCGCCTTCGGCCTGGACAAGGGCAGCGACGATGAGGAGGACGGCGAGGAGGGCGGGGCGATGACCCAGCACAACAACAAGGGGTTCCTCGGCGCCGCGAGGAT